TAAATTTATAGATGGATTAATTAATTTTCTTTTTGAAATGTATAAATCAAGGCACACTTTTTTTTTTTTATTCAAGTGGGGTATAGCAGAATACTCTTAATGAGAATCACCTATATGTGTCTGAACTGGGCTAGTTCTGTGAGAATTGAAAAGGCTAAATTCTCTATAGCACTCATGAATCCAGGAATTATCCAGGGCCAAAATGGACACAACTGATACAACCAAGTTGTGTATAAAAATAAAACTATGTGACAAGCTATTATCTTGGTTTACATCAACGACAGAACAGTTCAAGACATCATGTTCACTGAATAGCCAGTAAATCTGATAGTCTTTTACAAGGGATAAGGCCAAAAGCTACCAATCCTATATAGGATATTTCCAAATTTGTACTCACATAGTCTGCATATTGTTGTATTTCTCGTTTCGTCAATTTCATTTATGTGGGAAATTGTTGGAAAAAAATTATAAGTGAATAGAAATAGACCCCATTCGAATGAAAAAGTGCAACCTTCTTAGTATTCCTTCATTTTAAAAAGGTATGACCCAATGATCATGTCCCTTTTTTGTGCCTTTTCTGTTCAAACTGAACATGTGCCAACAAGCCTATATAAAGGCAGCCCCCATTCCAGTTTTCTTCATCTCAAAATTCCTTCCATTCTTATATACATTCAATCCTCATTCGTGTCTAAGTTCTTGTGAGTGCAAAGCATAATTCTGGTTCGTTGTACAATCAAAGTGCTATCTTTGTTTTAGGTGATTGTTGTATCTTGGAAACAGGACGTCTGTTGTTCTCAAACACCATTGGAGAGGACGAAATTCTATCTTAAACATACATTGTTTAAGCACTAGCCTCAATCACAATCTTGTTTCAATCTATAGAAATTCTGTATGATTTAATTTTTATTGTTTACTTTATTTATTTTATTTTCTTTAATTAATTATTGTCGAAAATTACTCCAACAGATTATGAGCCATTACTGACCAAGAAAGGAAGTATAACTCGACAATAGAAGAAAAATGACCTAACACTCTAAACAAGACTTAACACATTTGCTGAAGTGGAAATACTGGAATTCGGAGCTCTGAACTGCCATGTAGACATTTCAATTTCTCACACTAAACATCCATATGAAGAAACACCAAGTATTGATAACACCGAACTAGTGTCAAGTGGTAACAATGTTGTCTAAGGTGACCAAGCATATCAAGGGTGATAAGAAGGAACCTCACAAGACTGAGCTTTAATACTATTTATGAAGGAGAGACCTCATATTTCATTGGTATCTTTTCCTTTTCAAGTGTATATCCCAATCTCACTTTTTCCTCTCATTTCACACCTCTCTATTCTTTTATCTCTCTTTTCTTTTTCCTACATCTCTTATGTCTTCACTTTTCTTCTTCTAAACGTGACTCATGGTCGAACTATAGTGACTTTTTGTAACCCACATTTTGGATTGATCAATGTATGCACCTAGTCATGTGAAAAAGTGAGCTTGGTATTGCCCCTAGTTGAGACCGATGATATCAATCCACTACTTTTCTTGGTAGTCCAAAGGCAGTTCATTGGGCATTTTCCATCTTCATTCAGATTTCTTCCTTAGGCAGAATTATCATACGGCTCAAGAAACTTTTGATGACAATACAGATAGTCGTGAGCTTTCCAGCAAGTGCACCAAATGATAGAACAAAGACTCAACACGAAGAAACAAAAGAAGAGAATATAGCACAAATGACAAAAGACTTGACTCGACTGACACGCCCCAAAATATATGACCTGAACTATCATTTCAACACCCCAATTATACATAGGCCCTGTTTGGTAGAGCTGTGGGAAAGTGCTTATAGCTTATGCCTAAACAGCTTATAGCTTATAACTTTCAGCTTAAGCTGATTTCCAGCTTATTCTTAAAGCATCTCCTGCCCCACTTAAAGAATAAGCTGTTTTCTGACTTCCACAAAGCTATAAGCTATAAGCTATAAGCTAAACCAAACACATCAAAATAGCTTAAATTAAGCTGAAAGCTGAAATAAGCTGAAATTAAACTGTACCAAACAGGGCCATAGTGCTCTAACAACAAGCCGAAGCTTAATGCCAACACATTATATTAATAATATCCCTATTGAGATTACAAGATTATTTCACATGCATTAATATATTAGCTTGGTTTGGGAAGAATTTTTTGGCTTTTTGACTTTTTTGGTTTTTTTTTTTTTGTGAGAGAAGAGTGTAATGATTATGGGTTGGATGTGATGCTTTATTTTTTGTGGCTAAAATAACATATTTTGTCTTTTGTAGCTAAAATAGCCAAATAAGCCCAATCTAGCTCTTCCCAAACAAAGCCTATGGTGTTTGGGAAGTTTGTGGGTTGGTTTTTTATTTTTATTTTTTTCATTAAAAGACAAACTTTTTACAAAATCAAAAAAAATAAATCTAAATAAAATATCGCATCCAACCTCACAATCACTTTTTCTCCTACAAACATCACATCCAACTATAAAAAAAACCCAACTATCTTTTCAAATACCAAAATTTTTTTCTCCAATAATATCCTACAACTAAAGAAATCTACATAAAAACTCACTTCCCAAACTATATAATTAGAGTTTAAGTTTATATTAGAGATGCGAGTTATATATAATAAAATATTTTATATCACGTAATTATTAATATGTTATTTTTTTATATAATTTTTAATAAAATTTAACTTTAAAGATAAATTAAAAAAAATTAATAATAAGCAAATATATTTATATATAATAATTGAAATTTTATTGGGAAGGAAGTTTGTCCGTTTCCTTGAAACTAGTAAAAAAAAAGATCTACCAGAAGTAGAAGCAGGGATTCTCGTCCTCGCCTCTCTCGGCTTTTTTTGGGGGGTATGCAAATTTTTCTTCTCCCCCTAAGCCTCCGTTTGGGAAGTGGGTTGGCTTTTTGGCTTTTTGGCTTTTTTGACTTTTTTTGTGAGAGAAGAATGTAATGATTATAGGTTGGATGTGATGTTTTGTTTGTTATGGCTAAAATAGCCTATTTTGTTTTTTGTGGCTAAAATAGCCAAAAAAGCCTGAAAAAGCCCTTGCCAAACACAGGCTAAGTTAATTTTTTTTTTTTATTTTTTAGATATATTTCATTTTGATGTATTTAGAAAGTAAAAAATTTGTAAACAAAATTTAAAAATTTAATAAATATAATAAATTTTTATATTTTTTTGAAGGGGAATTTTTTAAATTTTTTTAGCTCCCTCATTCTAAATTTGTAGAAGAATAAGGATAATGAACTTTTCAATACTAGTTTAGGTCCTCTAAAATTGCTAGACGAAAATACCCTCGACAATAATGTTTTTCAATTTTTGGGTAATTTGAAAACTTTTGATTTATACTTCTATGTTTTGCCAAATTTATATTTTTATAGTCATCTCATCAAGATCTATCAAATAAGATTTATCAACAATATAAAATCTTAAAAAAAATCATGAAATTTTATTTGGGAGAAAGTCAGTGAAAAATAATAAAATTTTACTGACTTTTGCATGGTGAAAATTTCACTACCCAAACTCATTGAAATTTCTATTAAAAAATTATAAATTAAAAATATGAAAATCAATTACAAAAATAAGTCCTTAATTTCAAAATTATATTTAAAAAATTCAAATTGAGTGTTTTGTAATTATGAATTTTAAATATATTTTTACTTTGTCTCAATGAAATTTGTGAAATTTTTCTGAGATGGTGAATCTTTGTTATGTGACATAAGGGAGAAAAGAGAAAATCGAAAGAGAGACAATAGAGAGAGAGAGAGAGAGAGAGAGAGAGAGATAGATGGATAAAAATATACAAATCAAAGAAGATTGTGTAAGGAATTTCCTTGTCATAAATAAACTTGATAGAGGTATTAGCCTAATTTTAGTTGAGGGATGATGGCGATGACAAATAGTGATGATGGCAATGGTAGACCGTGACTATGATCGAAGATGGCAATAGCAAATGATAGCTGTAGTGGACGGTGTCAATAGTAAGTAGAAGATGTTGTGATTGATCATGATAATGGTGATGGTAGTGACAAAAGCAAATAGAACTGGTAACAAACTTTCGAATATGACACTTGTCGAAAAGAGAGAGAAAAAAACATAATTGCAAGGTTAAATATTTCTTTATTCTCCTATAGTTCGTAAATCCTGAGCATTTTCATTACTAAATAAATTGTTGTTATACTTAAATGGAGTTTTTTTTTAGGGTCCCTGGTATTAAGACTTTATAGTATAAAGGATATCTAATATTTTCATAATGTCTAAGGTCCCTTAACATTGATCCAGAGAAATTCCAGTCCAGAGAAATTCCAATCCAGAGAAATTTCAGCACAGAGAAATTCCAGTCCAGAGAAATTTCAACCCAGAGAAATTTTAAAAACTAGAGAATTTCTCTGGTTTCAACCCAGAGAAAACTCAGTTCAAAAACCAGAGAATTTCTCTGGTTTCAACCCAAAGAAATTCAGCTCAGCAACCAATTCAGTTAACTCTATGTCCTTAACAAATGCCATCATGAACAGAGAAAATTCAAACCCTATGTCCTTACCAAAGAAATTCAAATCCTTTATCAGAGAAAATTCAAAATTCTTTACCAGAAAATATTCAAACCAAAGAAAAATCAAAGAAAATTGGAACCAAAAAAAAATTCAAGGGTAATTCAGAGAAAATTACCAAATTCAGATAAAATTCAAAAGAAATCTAGAGAAAATTGCCAAATCCAGATAACATCACCAAAAACAGGTTTAAGCCACACAAACAGAAACGTTCCAAGTGCTGGGTGGTGAATTTTATGAACAGTGAAGATTTTACCTGTATAATGCCCTCTTGCAAAATTGTTGGCAGCATCTGCCCCATGCCTTTCTTTTGCCCCCAATGTTGGATTCTTGCCCTCATACGTTTCTAACCTGAGGCCGCATATATGTATCCATCTATCAAATAATTATTAATTCATCAACACTAAAACAAAGTGACATATGGGAAAAATACGTTTTAATATTGAAGAATAATTCGATATCACAAAGAGAGATGATGCCCTCTAAACTAGTTGCAGAACATAAATAAATGAGAAGCTAACAACCAAACAAGTGAGGAGGAAGTTACAAAGAAAGAGCGTGAAAATGATGACACTACAACTGACCAATCTAACTATAGATTTTTCACCATTTGGAAGTGTTATGGTATGAGGCCCAATCCCAAGGCAACACTCATGGCAAATTGTGTGGGTGAAGAAAGAATCAAAGTGTACATATTTCTGTTGTTCCTTCGTAATACATACATCAGATATGGGCTGAAGAATATGCTTGAACCTGGTAGAGAAAAAAAGACCTAATGAATTCAATTTTAAACAAGGGCATATATGAGATAACAAAAAATTTCCCATCTCAACTAACAAGAAGTTCCAATAATTGCCAACAAGAGACATCTGTTATCAGTTTTATATTTGAACATGAGCATAATTGCTTCAAAGAAAAGAATTGTACTTTGCCTCTGAAACATTTTTAAGCATGACCATGGATGTTCCCCGATCTTTCACTATACACTCATCATTTTGAAGGTTGAATGCAACAATTTGGAAGAAGGCGGTAAGTCCCTGTCCTGACTTCGTCAAATAACGGTTGGTTCCAGGTCAACAAATATAGCTCTAGGCACATGTTTTCCTGCACCTATCTCGCTAAAGAAGGTATTAAAAGCATCGTGGTTGTGTCACTGCACAGACATGATAAATTTTGTAAGGAACTCGTATAAATCTGAGCTCTAAGACTTGGTTGCCATCGAAGGTGTCACGGGTGAACTCTACGTTCAGCTGTTCAATCAGAAATTTACAAAGAGGCAGGCCAGGTCGCGGATCCGAGCGGCGAAAAGGTCTGCGACGGTGGCGGAGCGGAGGGAGGAGTCGGAGGAGAATGTGTTGAGGAAGAGGTCGTAGGGGAGGGTGGAGAGGAGGGTGGAGGAGCAGAGAAGAAAGAGAGGAGAGACAAAAGAGTCAAATTTCTCTGATATATGTTTAGGGACCTTAGACATAAAAAAAATAATTTTGTTGATCTCTTCCATTACGATAAGTGGGAGAGGGACCCTAAACTAATTTTCCCTACTTAAATTTTACACAAACTTGTAGATTAATGTCTCCATAATTTTCCCCCTTTTACTATTAATCTGATTTTTTTTTTCCAACTTTTCTATTAAGTTTGTTATTTTTTTTTTAGATGTCTCCATAATTTTTCCCTTTTTACTATTAATCTGATTTTTTTTTCCAACTTTACTATTAAGTTTGTTATTTTTTCTTTAAAATATTTAAAATTTACTAAAAATTAAAAAAATCAAAAATTATTTTTAAAAATTCAAATAAAAATACTATTTCTTCCGTCTTAAAATAATATTAATAAATTTTAAAAAATGATAAAATAAAAAAGTATATTATTTTAATTTTTAATTTTTTTAAAAATAAATTAATATTTTAAGATAATAAAAAGGCAGTGGCTTTGGTCCAGTCTAAGATCGGACTAGACCGTGCTGTTGGGCCCGTGGGGGCCTACCGCGGGTCCCGTTTTGATAATCCGAACCGTTCAATGTGTAGAACTCGTCGAATACTATATGCCTGTAAAAAATCACGTTGATCGGATATCGATAGCTATGTGAACAAACACTTTTTTATCAACCGTTAATTGTTTCACTGTCCATTTTTTTATACAAAACTGATTTGATCACATAGCTATTGATATCCGATCAACGTAATTTTTTACAGACATGTAGTACTCGACGAGTTTTACACATTGAATGGTTCGGATTATCAAAACGGGCCAAAAAAAGGGCCCCATGGACCGAACTGGACGGGTCCAGTCTTGATCTCAACTTGAGACAAGCTGGACCCTAAGGCCCCGTTTGTTTGGGGTTATGAGGAGGGGATTGGGTTTGATAGTGAGGTGGGGTTTGAAAATGAAGTGTTTGTTTTGAGAGATAAGGAGGAGATTAGTAATCCCTTGGTATTAGTAAGGAGGAAGAAGGGGGATTGATAAGGAGGAGGTAGAGATGGTATTAAAAAATAGCGAAGGGATTAGAAATTTTTTTATTTATTTTTTATTTTTTATATATTAGGAATTTTTTTTAAATATAATGTTTATTTTTTTATATTTTTTATTTGTTTTACTATTTTATATAAAAATAATTTAATAATTTTTCATTATCAATCCCCTCACTAATAATCCCCTCACTACTAATTCTCTCTACTCCCTCCGTCCCAAAATATTAGTCCCTTATTCCATTTTTCATTGTCCCAAAATATTAATCTCTATTCAAAAATCAAGTACAAAAATAATATAAATTTCTTATTTTGTCATTCTTTTAAATTAATAAATAATATAAAAAATACAATTATGAATTGATATTTTCAAAAAATATACTATCAAAAGGGTAATTTTAGAAAATCAATTTTTTTCAAATGTAATAATTGTACTACAAAGAAAAAATAAATTTTCAAAAAAAAAACTAATATTTTAAAACGGAGAGAGTATTATACTTCTTAAAATAAACGGAGCCTAATAAAAAATAGAAGAGAGAGAGAGAGAGTAACTACCCATAATTGATGATTCTTCTTCTGCTGTCCTTATCTCCATCCTCTTTTATCTCAGTAAGTACTCCCTTACCTACAGAGAGACCCACAGAGACTAGAGAGAGACACACACACTGATATTAATAAGCACCACCTTTCTCTCTCTATACCAAAATACTACCAATACTCTCCACCCCGACTCCTTATTCCCAACCACAACTATCAACTCCACCGTCCGATTCAAATCTTCAGAACATCAAAAAAATGCATCACTGACATTTCAACCGTGCGATGCTTTCACGCGCTCAGACAGTCTTGTTTGAGGGCGTGACAAAGGTACCAAAGAGCGTTAGCTGTCTAACAATTTTTAAACTTTGGGAAACGGTAGTACGTGTGACGGCCGCTGCAACCTTCTTCCTCCCCCTGCACCACAGCCTGTAAACTAACGTCTCTTCACCGCCGTTTGCCTTTCCATAATTTATTCGGTGCTCCAAGGGCACAGCTACATACTGTTCCAAATCAAATATGATTGCTGTAAAAGGTAAGATTCACTGATTTAAGATAAAAGAAAAAATTTGGAAACTCATAATTCAAGTCTCAGATTTTACTCAAAAAAAAGTAGAAATTAAATTGATGAATAGTGGGGGTGTTTTGTGGGATTTTTTTTAGCCTCCGTTTGGCAAGAGCTTTTCCAGGCTTTTTTGACTATTTTAGTCACAAAAAACAAAATAGGCTATTTTAGCCATAACAAACAAAACATCACATCCAATCCATAATCATTACATTTTTCTCTCACAAAAAAACTCAAAAAAGCCAAAAAGCCAAAAAGCCCTTCCCAAACCAAGCTTTTAAGCCCAGGCTAAAATAGCCAAAAAAGCCAAAAAGCCAAAAAGTCAACCCACTTCCCAAACGGAGGCTAGTTAATTTATAGTTTTTGACTTTTAAAAAATTATTTTGAATTGTTTGATTAAACTTATTTCAAACAGTTTCTAATTTTAACAACTTATTTTAATTCAAAAAAATTGATTATGAGAATTTGCCTACCAGTGACGGAGCCAAGAAAATAAATTAGAGGGGGCACTTCTTAATTACAACATTAAAAATATTTACAAAAATATTTCATATAAATTTTTACGATTGACTTCAAGAAATATAAATAAATAAAAAAAATCAATGTGTTTGGTTTGAATTTTTTGAATTAAGTCTTTTGAAAATTATTGTTTTTTATTTTTTATTTTATTTTTTTTTTTTTGTTTTTAGTGAATATTTTTAAAGTTGTAAGCATTTTTTTTTTACTTTTTTAGATACATGATGTATCTAAAAAAAATAAAATATTTGTGAAAAAATATTTTAAAAAATAAATAAATACATAAAAATATGAAAAATGTTTTGATTTTTTGTATTTTTTTTATATTTTTGGTATTTAGTAAATTTTTTAAAGATTTTTTCAAAAATTATACTTTTTAAGTATATTTATGTTAGGTGTGTCTAAAAATAAAAAAAAAATGCTTAAAATATTAAAAAAATTCAAAAAAAACAAAAAAATACGAAAAACAAAAACGTAGAATTTTTTGAAAAGTGTTTTCAGAAAACTTAAACCAAACAAAGTGAATATGTTATTATGGACAACATTAAAAAAAAGTCATGGATATAAAGTTTTAAAATAAATTATATAATGATAAAGTAATTTTTTTAAACAAAATATGTGTAAAAATTCAATATAATAGTCATACCACGCAATCATTGACATATGATATTACTAATCAATAATAAAGAAACATATGGAGGGTGAACCTTGCATATTAAACGCAACTAACAATTCAATAAATTTTATATTTTCATTGAAATTAATTATACTTGCATATCAATAATGATAGAGATCACCATTATATTGAAATTCTCATAGATAATAATATCGTAGTCTCTTTATTTTCAATCAAAACAATCATTATTATTTTTATAATTTTAAAAATATCATTAACATTTCACTCTAAATAATATTTTTATATAAAATATTTTCTTTGTGCTAAAAAAAAAAAAAAATTAAATAACTTTTAATTTTAACAACTTATTTTAATTCAAAAAAACTGATTCGAAGAAGTTGTTCACCCCTTACTTCTGGTTATCAGCTTCTGCTGTGGACATGTTAATTCACGGTTATATTCTTAGATTTTTTTATTTTTTATTTTTTTAAAAATAAAAAAAACCCAAATGGACTATAAAATATTATTATTATTTTTTATGAGAAATGTAGGCAAATAGTGAATAATAACAAATAAAAATTAATTGAAAAAACTACTTCATAACTTATTTAACAAACACTACTCAGCAACTTAAATCTATAATCCAACAGCTATACCAAACAGATTAACAGTTTCTGATTAAAGTCATAATCTATAATCTGTTTTAACAGTTATACCAAACATGACCACTGCAGCTTACTACTAAAATAAATTTAAATAATTAATTATCATTTTTAGATAAATTTTGAGTGAATAATATAAGTTTACAGTATTATTAAAGATAAAAAAGTAAGGCCAAGTTCGGCATATACAAAATAATTCATCTTTTTATCTTTTTTTCTTCACATCACCTCTCTACTTTTCTACACATCTTTTCGTAAAAAGACAAAAAGTACACTTATTTAGGTAATCCCAAACAACCCCAAAGTAACATATGTAGGGACTACTTGTTACAACTTTGATAAGCTGATTATAATTTATTTTAATTTATAAGCTTATGTTAGACTATTTGATTCATTAGCTACTTATAGTTTATTTGGTAAAAATAATTTAAATAAGCCCATGTTTAGCATGCAATAGTTTTAGTTTAAAAATTAAAAAAAAATTATTAAAAAATTCAAAAACTCTATGGGTTGGTTTGGGAAGTGGGATGACTTTTTGACATTTTTGGTTATTTTAGTCTGGGCTAAAAAATTTGATTTGGAAATGATTTTTTGGCTTTTTTAGATTTTTTTTTTTGAGAGAAGAGTGTAATGATTATGAGTTGGATGTAGTGTTTTATTTTTTGTGACTAAAATAGCATATTTTATCTTTTGTGGCTAAAATAGTCAAAAAAAACCCAATCTAACTCTTCCTAAACGGAGCCACATATATAAAAAAAAATCAAATATTTTATTTTCTCTCTATCTTTTACATATTTTTTGTAAAAAATAAAAAAGTCATTTCAAATATACTAATTTTTTTACCTCATATTTTAGCAAAAAAGTTAAAAATTAATAAAATAACTAAATTAAAAAACAAAAATTGGTTATTTAAAAATGAGTAAAAAGATGCTTTTAAGGTCTCGTTTGACAATTTTTAGTTTCAGTTAAAAGGTTAAAAAGTCATATTTGAGAAATATGTTTTGAAATAAAAAATACGAAAATTTGTTTGGTTTGGTTTTTTTTCAAAAGATGTTTTGAAAAATTAATTTGAGAGAGAGTTTTGAAAAAAGTGATTGATTTGATGTGTATGAGAGAGAGATTTATTTGGAAAATTTATAAACCAAACAAGTTTTGGAAAAAAATTTTAGAAAAATTTGTATGGTTTGATTACTTTTAAAAATTTATTTGTAGAGAATTTTTTTCAAAATTTTTTGAGAAACACAAACCAAACAAGACCACTATTTCTGCACATTTTTTTTTATAAAAACTCAAAAATTATTAAAATCACATATTTCCAAACGAAATCTTAAGTTTATTTTCTAATTATCAATTTTTTAAAAAATAAAAAAAAAACTACACTGGTAACATCGTAGAACACCGAATAATTGTCCAAAACTATCTCCATTCTCTCTCTAACTCTGCTCTCTTCTCTCTCTTCATAACACTACTGCCATTAACGTTCTTCCTTACAGTTCACGCCAAACGTCTGCTCTCTGCTCTCTCTCTCTCTCTCTCTCTCTGTGTCTGTACATTGTGTGTGGTGAGAGAGAAGCCGAGCTGCTAATATTCTTCAACTATCTATCTCTACTTTGGAGCAGTGCTTGTGTTTGTTTGGTGCTACAATACAATGGAGGAAGCACTGTTGTTTCAGAAGAAGACGAAGAAGCTCGTTTTCTATTCTGTGATGCTTGCTTTTATGCTTCTCTTTCCCCTTGCTTCACCTCTCAATGACGAAGGTCATCTTTCTTCTCTGTCTCTCTCTCTCTGTTTTGTTGTCTCTTGAGCTGTTTTTTTGCCTCTGATGAATGCGGACTTATAAAAGTTTTTACTATTTTTTCCACTGTCTTTTCGATTGTGATTTCTGCGAAACGGAAGCTTGTTTGATAGGCTTCGAAGAAGAGTTTGGAAATTATTTTTAAGTTTGTACATTTTGGAGATTCTATAAGTTCTCTGTTTGGTTTCCGAGAAAATGCTGGAGAAAACGACAGTTCGGTTTTGATGTTCCCAGAAGAAGACACTTGCAGGCAGTAGACAGTCGTTCAGTTCAGATGGTTTCATATAATCTATTTTCAGTATATTTTGAAACTGGACAACAATAGAAACAAAAATTCCGCAATTTTTTTGGATTTTTAAAGCAATCAAAAAAATTTTTTTTTTGGGCTACCAGGGAGGGAATGTATTTTCTCTTCGTTTGTGAAGAAAATCATGCTATATAATTAATAGAAAGCTATTCTCATGATGAGAAAATGGTTTGTATCTGCACAGGCAAAGCGTTAATGTCGATTAAGGCGTCGTTTAACAACATAGCAAATGTGTTGCTGGACTGGGATGATGTTCATAACGATGATTTCTGTTCATGGCGTGGCGTCTTCTGTGACAATATCACCCTATCTGTTGTTTCTCTGTATGTGTTTTCTGTTCATGCTTATTTTCTTCCTTTTTCTATTTCCATTTGATTCTACTGGAGTTTTTATTTATTTATTTATTTATTATTTATATATATATTTTATTATATTTGTTGGTTAAAGGAATTTGTCAAATTTGAACTTGGGTGGGGAGATTTCACCAGCCATTGGAGACCTGAAGAATCTACAGTCCATGTATGCTTTCTTTGCTAATCCTGTTGGTTTGGTGTTCTTGCACATTGTAACAAGGTTAACATAATACCGACTTTGATGTTATTGTTGAAATATTTTCAGGGATTTTCAGGGCAACAAATTAACTGGTCAAATTCCTGATGAGATAGGCAACTGTGTTTCTCTGATGCTAGTGTAAAATTTCATCTTCTTTCTTCATTACAATTTTATTTACATATATGTGGATATATTAATTTCTTCTTCTGTCTTTTGGTGATTAAGATTTTTAGTTTTTATTTTAATGGTTGGGTTTCCATAATGCAGGGATTTATCTGATAATTTACTGTATGGAGATATACCATTCTCAATATCCAAGCTTAAGCAGCTTGAGTTATTGTAAGTTAATACCTGAAGTGAAGTGCTATTAATTAAATATGCTGGATTGTTTAAGATAGGTAAGTTTTTAGTTCCGCCAACCAAGGGCTTGAGTAAGCTCTGTAAATGCAGGAATTTGAAGAACAATCAATTGACTGGTCCTATCCCTTCAACATTAACACAGATTCCCAACCTCAAAACTCTGTGAGTCGTAATTTTTTTGTTTTTTTATTTTTTAGTGGAGTCCATGCAGTTAACATTACTATATGTTTTTTTGATTTTATTTACACCAAAGCCATAGACACTTGTGCTAATAAATATGTATGCCTTGTCTTTGTGTAAATTTATTCTGTAGGGACCTTGCTCGTAACCAGCTTATTGGTGAGATACCGAGGTTAATCTATTGGAATGAAGTATTACAATATCTGTAAGTACTACATCAATTAGGGTTTAACAACTGATAGATAAAATCCAATTTCATTATCAACCCTTGATGCTATTAACACTTAAACATTTAATTTGGTTTATAATTTTACTCTGGACAAACTATTGGTTCATCTATCATCTGGTGGTAATTATGTTTGCAGAGGGTTACGTGGCAATTCTTTAACTGGAACCCTGTCCCCAGATATGTGCCAACTGACTGGCCTGTGGTATTTGTGAGTGTTCACTTCCTGGTTATGCTTGCTTTTGGCTTTTTCTGTGCTTCCTACATGCTTTCTGCTTCATATCCATGGGGACATTGAAATCTTCCTTGATCTCTTTAGTGATGTAAGAGGCAATAACCTAACTGGAACAATCCCTGATAACATTGGCAATTGTACAAGCTTTGAGATCTTGTAAGTTTCTTAATGATAACTACCCTACTTACGGAAATACATTCTTTCTTTTCATTTTTGGTTAAAATTGTAGTGTATGATTTTCAGAGACATCTCATACAATCAGATCTCTGGGGAGATTCCATACAATATTGGCTTTCTACAAGTGGCCACTTTGTGAGTTCTCTTACTCCACTTTATATTTTTCTTTCGTGGAAGAAGTAGAAGCTAGAAATGTTCTTCTGTTGTCTTCAAGGAAGGTCAATTGAAGTTAAAATTGATATGCACTTAATTTCTGAATTCTAATACAAAATGCATTTCTTGTTTTTCATTATGACATTACTGTGCTTATGGTTCTTGTTATTAGATCTCTGCAAGGAAATAGGCTGACAGGGAAAATTCCAGAGGTGATAGGTCTAATGCAAGCCCTTGCTGTTTTGTAAGTGTGCTTAATATATATTTGAATTTAACGACCAATGGAACAACTATGTTTGGGATAAAAAAAAGATGTTTTATTCTTGTCCTTTTCATTGTTGTCTTTCAGGGATTTAAGTGAGAACGAACTAGTTGGGCCAATTCCGCCAATTCTTGGCAATTTGTCTTACACTGGAAAACTGTGAGTTAATAACTCGAGAGATATATAGATGATGAATTTCTGTTGCCTCCTTTTTTGTTGTGCTCACATATTTATTTGTCTGAGTAGGTATCTCCATGGCAACAAGCTTACAGGACCGATTCCACCAGAGCTTGGCAATATGTCAAAGCTCAGCTATTTGTAAGATGCGTCTTGCCAGTTTATTGTTTACAGGTCACATTAAGTGATTGTTTGGATTCAGTTGACGAGACTTTTAATTTGCAGGCAATTAAATGGCAATCAATTGGTTGGTGGAATCCCAGCTGAACTTGGGAAACTTGAGCAGCTTTTTGAATTGTGAGCTAATTTTTTTGGAGGGTTATATCTTTTTTTTTTCTCTTTTTTATTTTTTGGGGTCAGAAGTTTGTTCTGTTTGGTTCTTTACTGTTTCTTTTAATTGCTTAACCTCCTTGTTCCCAGGAACCTTGCCAATAACAATCTGGAAGGTCCCATTCCACACAACATCAGCTCCTGCACTGCATTGAATCAATTGTAAGATGTCTGGTTTATGCAGCACTACATGAACATCTATTTTATGCTTATATATCCAATCACATCAACATTGTGATTCTGTTCTGTTCTGGTTTCTAGTAATGTGTATGGTAATCGCTTAAGTGGATCAATTCCTCTGGGCTTCCAAAGTCTTGAAAGTCTGACTTATCTGTAAGTTCAAATGCTGAATTTTAAAGTGACTGTTTACTTCTGGTTCAAACTTTGCTTTCATTGATGTTTATGGAAATAATTTTTGACACCAGGAATCTCTCGTCAAATCATTTCAAAGGAAGTATACCTGTTGAGCTGGGACGTATCATCAATTTGGATACATTGTATGTTTCTAAACAACTTGTGTGATGTGTTGCACTTGTTGTCAATCATCTAGTCTTTACAAGCAACTTTGTTTTGCTTAGGGATCTATCTAGCAACAATTTCTTGGGACCCGTTCCTGCTTCTATAGGTGACCTGGAGCATCTCCTCACTCTGTAAGAAATTCATGCTCTTTAGCAACACTGTTTCAAGTGGTTGAGTATATGGTTGTTTGCCTGACTTGTGAACATGTATTATACATTAAGGAATTTGAGTCATAATCATCTTAATGGACCCATACCTTCAGAATTCGGCATTCTCAGAAGTATACAAATTATGTGAGTTTCTGTGAAAACCTCTGTAATTGAATCCATTTCAGTTAAAGGGCATTGTTTTTTATTATTGTTTTACTTGTGATGATACTTGCTTCAATTCATGTACTGACAAGTCATTCAACTTGTTGGTCAATATCATCCGTTTCAGTTTAATCATGGACATTATTTCAATATTTTTCTTGAAGTTGTAATTATATTTATGTTTTTGTAGAGATATGTCATTCAACAACTTGTCTGGTCATATCCCTGAGGAGTTGGGTCAATTGCAGAACATTGCGTCTCTGTAAGTTGGTTATCGAGTGTTTTGCCAGCCTACTAATATTTTGATGAGTTTCTTATAAAATTGGAATCAATCTACTCTAATGTTATTGCTTTTTCCTCCTCGGAATTGTGCTGTAGTATATTGAATAACAACAATCTTCGTGGAGAAATTCCAGATCAGCTGACTAATTGTTTGAGTCTTGCTACTCTGTGAGTTCTTTTTCCCTCCTCTGGCTATCTACTCGTCTGAAAGCTTTCTGAATTTCTTTTACTTGTATGTTTTAGGAATGTTTCCTACAACAACTTATCTGGAATTGTTCCTCCTATTGGAAACTTTTCACGGTTTTCACCTGACAGGTATGGGCAAAACAACTTGTTTCTTCTCACTTGTGATGAACCCTCTAATGTGTGTAATGCTCTTTTGAGTTCTGAACATTTATATTCTATTCCATCATCAGCTTCATAGGAAATCCGTTATTATGTGGGAACTGGTTTGGATCAGTATGTCATCCTTGTGCACCAAAATCGAAAGGTATCAATTTGATTTTACAATGTCAGTTTATGAGGTTGCATTTGCAAGTCCTTGTCTCTCTTCTCCTTCTCCCCTTAATCTCTCTGAGTTAGGGTTGCTTGTTTTGCTTTATTGCAGCAATTTTCTCTAGGACAATGGTGGTTTGTATCACACTCGGCTTTGTAATACTGCTAGGCGTGGTAATAGTGGCTTTGTACAAATCGAACCAGCTGGATCCATTTGTGGAGTCTAAGAAGAGCATGCAAGGTATAATACCAATCTTTGTGACTGGTAATCTTCAAGTCAAGTTACCAATGTGGGATTTTGTTTTTTTTCCCCCTCCTTGGTCAGGTCCTCCAAAACTCGTTATTCTTCACATGGATATGGCTATTCACACTTATGAAGATATAATGAGAATCACTGAGAATATGAGCGAGAAATACATTATAGGATATGGTGCTTCCAGTACGGTATACAAGTGTATATTGAAGAATTCCCGACCAATTGCAATTAAGCGAATATACACTCAGCAACCACATAATTTTAGAGAGTTTGAGACTGAGCTTGAGACAGTTGGTAGCATCAGGCACAGAAACCTTGTCAGCTTGCATGGTTATGCACTGACACCCTATGGAAACCTCCTCTTCTATGACTACATGGAGAATGGTTCTCTTTGGGATCTTCTTCATGGTAAGCTCACTTGCCTGCATGTTTTTTGTTATTTATTTATTTATTTATTATAGGAATGGTACAAATTTAAAAGTAAGCTTGTCTTGCTGTGCGTTTTGTTTGCCATGCTGTGAAACTTTGTTTTGATAAAAAGCAACAAGAAGAGGAGAATTGTTCTGTATACAATGGTAAAATGAAACAAAAGACCATTGCGATTGTATTTTGTTTTTTCCCAATAAATCATAATATTTTCTAGTTTGCAATATCGTTTGATATATTTTTCCTGGGTCCCATCTGGATAATTACAATCATTTTTGGCTAATATGGCTGACAGGACCGGCAAAGAAGGTAAAACTTGATTGGGAGACACGTCTTAAGATTGCAATCGGAGCTGCCCAAGGACTTGCTTATCTTCACCATGATTGTAACCCGAGAATTATTCACCGGGATGTTAAGTCCTCAAATATCCTACTGGATGAGAACTTTGAGGCTCATCTCTCTGATTTTGGTATTGCAAAATCTATTCCCACTGCAAAAACCCACGCATCAACTTATGTTCTGGGTACCATTGGTTACATTGACCCAGAGTATGCTCGGACCTCTCGGCTAAATGAGAAATCGGATGTTTATAGTTTTGGTGTTGTTCTTTTGGAGTTGCTGACTGGAAAGAAGGCCGTAGACAATGAGTCTAACTTGCATCAGCTGGTATTCCCCTAATATTGCATTGATCTATTAGACAAACACTTTAGACCATATCTTTATTTACTTGGAAGTGGCAATCTATCGAGTCTACCGTGTTTACTCTTGAAACTTAAATGTCTTCACTGCATGGATTAACCAATTGTTTGCAGTGTAGTGATGTAGTTTTTATGTGGTGAAGAAATTTGCGTAATTTTTGAGTTGGGCAAGTAGAAACTGTTGGTCTGAATAATTTTTGGGTTCATTTTCAGATATTGGCGAAGGCAGATGATAACACCGTGATGGAGGCAGTTGATCCTGAGGTCTCTGTTACATGCATGGATTTAACCCACGTCAGAAAGACCTTTCAGCTTGCCTTGCTGTGCACAAAGCGCTATCCATCTGAGAGACCAACCATGCACGAAGTCGCTAGGGTCTTGATCTCCTTGCTTCCAGCTCCTCCAGCAAAGGCAAGTGCAGCTCTGCCAAAAACTATTGACTATGCGCTATTCGTGATCGATAAAGGGCAGACTCAACTGAATGCTCAGCAACTTCATCCCCAGGCTGACAACAGTTCCTCTGATGCACAATGGTTTGTTAGGTTCCGCGAAGTGATCTCTAAAAACACTCATTAACAGAGTTTGCACTGTTTCTGTGTTCTTTTTTTGCTTCCCCTGAAGAAAGGGAAATGGGTGACGATGAATGGCATAGGAAAATCCCAAATTTTGGTTCCTGCTGGGATTTTTTGTTTTTCAATCTGGACAATGTAGATGTGGCCTTAACAATTAACTAATTTTTTCTTTTTAAGGATATTCTGGGCGAAGGTTATTTTTAGTAAATTTAACCTGTACCTACATATTTAGAATTATCAGTTAGTTTATACAAGCATTTCCGAAATAGTGTGGTGCTTTATTTTGTTGTATACTTGACAGCTGACAACATATTTGTGTAATTTTACATTTTGGATTTGGAGCGTCAAACTATTTGTGTCCTTCATTGACGTGAGAGATCATAACATGTGTTGTCATGGTAATTAAAATTCCTCAGCTTGTCACACAATTTGTCTTTCATTGACGTGAGAGATCATAGCATGTGTTTTCATGGTAATTAAAATTCCTCGGCATGAACAATTGACGGGCTTGAATTGCAAGCTGTTTTTAGGCTGGACTCTGGTAAGTTGAATATTGTCTGTTACAATAAATTGATGTATATTATTGATTGATGTATTACAAGATTGTTGTGTATTTATTTTGTATATTACAAGCTATTATATAGGAGAGGATTTGGGAGTAGGTGAGCTAGGTGAGTGGTGGTAGTGGATGGTAGTGGAGGTGGTGGGTGGTAGTGGAGATGGTAGGTGGAGTTGGTGGTGTGGTAATTTACACAATTTACAATTTACATTAACAGCCCTCCTCAAACTCAAGGAGGATAGGAACTAATCAACTTGAGTTTGAAGAGAGTAACAAAACAGAAAAATAAACTGATAAATAAAATAAAACAGGATAGGAGACACGGTATGGTCGTGTCAGACTGTTGTAGCAGACAGTTTACGGGGTCATGTCGGACCGATGTAGCAGACACTGTGTGGTCGTGTCAGACCGTTGTAGAAGACAGTTTATGGGGTCATGTTGGACCGTTGTAGCAGGACAGTTTACGGGGTCATGTCGGACCGTTGTAGAAGAACAGTTTACGGGGTCATGTCGGACCGATGTAGCAGCTGACCGGAATCAATGTCGGGACAGTTTATGGGGTCATGTCGGACCGTTGTAGCAGACACTGTGTGGTCGTGTCAGACCGATGTAGAAGACAGTTTATGGGGTCATGTCGGACCGTTGTAGCATGACAGTTTATGGGGTCATGTCGGACCGGTGTAGCAGGACAGTTTACGGGGTCATGTCGCACCGTTGTAGAAGACAGTTTACGGGGTCAGGTTGGACCGATGTAGCAGGACAGTTTACGGGGTCATGTCGGACCGTTGTAGCAGACACTGTGTGGTCGTGTCAGACCGTTGTAGAAGACAGTTTATGGGGTCATGTCGGACCGTTGGAGCAGGACAGTTTACGGGGTCATGTCGCACCGTTGTAGAAGACAGTTTACGGGGTCATGTCGGACCGGTGTAGCAGAGGTTGTGGTGATGCACAGTGCGCCATGAGCGACTTATACATGATACTGTGTATAACCCCCCCTCAAACTCAAATAGGTGTGAAGATAAAAACCTATTTGAGGTTGAAAAGGGATTGATAAAGCTGAGCGGTGTAGAAGACACTGTATGAGTGTGTATATAGGTTGCCCAAAAGAAAATATACAGGGATGTAGATATCGAGCCCTCAAAAGTCGTGCCCTCAAAAGGTGTGCCCAATCTGTCAAAAGGCGTGCCATCAAAAGGCGTGCCCGATGCATCAAAAGGCGTGCCATGAAAAGACGTGCCAGTTTGTCGGCGAGCACCGAGTGGCGCATGATGCGCGTGGCTGCCTTGGCTATAAAACCAAGACGAAGGCAGAGGCTGAGGCAGAGACGGAGACAAAAAAAAAAAAAAAAAAAAAAAAAAAAGGGAAAAAAAAAAATGAAAAAAAAAAAGTAGGGGATGGCAAAAAAAATTAAAAAATGGGATAGGAGCCTCTGGAAAGTGGCCGGGGCCCACTGCCACATCATTAGTGCTCCCTTTAGTGATCCCTTTTTAGTGCTCCCAAGCATTTTTCTAAAAATTTAGACCATATTTGGAACTTGAAAGATCAGGACAATGTAGAGTAATCATTAGGCATATTCTCATTCATCTCATTCCTCCTTACTTTGAGTTTGATTTTATTCACTTTATCAAAGTGTGAACAAAACGAAGTTTTGATTGTTTTAAAGTAAAAGTCTATAATTTTAAATGGAGTCTACAATTTTTGAACATAGGGTCTATAGAAGAGAAATTAGAAGTGGCCACATTTTTATATATAAAAATACATATTATTCACTAAACACACATTCTAGTTACAACATTAAAACATTCATTTGCTCCATAAATTAACAAATAGTTAACACACAAAACTAGACCCATTTTTATTACATTTGTACTATAATACATATTTTTAACTATATCATTGGAGATGCTCTTAGATACAATTCTGTATTTGAAAATTACAAAATAAAATACAAAAGATTTCAATTTTTATTTTTTAAAAAGACCATCAATTCGATTGCATTCAATTCATTTGGAAGGTGACTCCTTGAATGAAATCTCGGATATTCGGAAATCAAAAGGCTCCTTTTCTGCAATATGGATGGAAGCAGTCCCTAGTTCTATATATGTTGGCTTTAGTGTTGTATGAAGAACTATTGTATTATGTAATGTAAGTTTGGAGATTTATATTCGATTTTCCTTAAAAGAGTCATGATTGTGATCGGGGTGATCCCTGAGATGAATAAAATATGGGTTGTTGTGCAAATTTTCTTCTGCGTCTTTTTTTTTTTTTTGACTCATACCCATGTTCGCCGGATGGAAGGCGAAAAATAGAGAGGTAGAAAATAAAATATAAAAGAAAAGAATATTGAAGAGAAATGTGTGAATGTGAAAGGAATAAAAAATTAAAAAAGGAATGTGAGATTCAAATGTATTTGTACGGGTCCGACACTAATGGAAAAGTAAGATGAAGGGTGTGTGGTTTGTTTTCTTTTCAAAAGATGGATTAAAAGAAATATAAAAAAAAAAAGAAAAGAAAGTGGAGTGGGAAACAGGAAGGGAAAAGGAAGTGGAGACCATGATGAAAGGAATGACTGAATCTTCTCAACTACACAGGAGGAATGTTAGAGAAAGAAAAACCCTTGTAACCCTTGTACGCATAGTACGCAATCCGCGTATAATAGAACCCCGGAATGAACAGAACCGAACCCAGAATCGCAAAGAAAATCCCGTGAGCAGTGTCGCCGCCGACTCGATTGAAGGCCATGATGGGGCCGAGAACGATGCCTAGGGTTCCGAAAACGAGGAGAGAGACAGCGAGAGCGATCTCTTTGATCGGAGGACTGTTGTTGTAAGAGGAGTCCGTCATGATGTCTTCGTCGGAAATGGAGAAAGGGTGGTCTACGTACGCCATTGATGGGTGAGTTCGAGCTCTGATCTTCCTTGATTCTCTCTTTCTCTCTCTCTCTGTGCGATAAAAATACGGGTTTGTTAGATTTGGGGAAGAAGATGGGGGTTTTGTGTTTATTTCTGAAGAATTAATTAGTTTCTGTCTGTCTGATGTGATGAAGAGTTGGAGGTCGGAGGCGTGGCGGAGCTCCTGCAAGAACTGGCGGCAATGGCCGCAGGGGGCGGCGGAGACGGCGAGGGCGAGTAGGCGGGTTCGGCCGTGTACGACGAGATTGGTCACGAGAAATTGCTCGGCGTGGACGGAGTGGTGAAGGGGGAGACCAGGGAACTCAAGGTTGACGCCGACGCAGATCCGACCGTCGGATCCTAATCCGACGGCGCTGACGTGGTAGTCGGAGAGAGGAGGGCGAGCTAGGGTTTGAGCTGATTTGACGAAGGTAGGGAGGAGTTGGAGGAGAGAGAGGCCTGAGTTAGTCGCTATTGATGAGGCCTCTGATGCTTCAATCAGAAATCTGGGTCCATCCATTTCCAGCGGGCAGCGAAGGCAAGGTTGCCGGCCGGCTGCCCGCCGGTGAGAAAAAAATTCAAGCCTAAATCTTATAGCTCTGATACCATGTTACAATAAATTGATGTATATTATTGATTGATGTATTACAAGATTGTTGTGTATTTATTTTGTATATTACAAGCTATTATATAGGAGAGGATTTGGGAGTAGGTGAGGTAGGTGAGTGGTGGTAGTGGATGGTAGTGGAGGTGGTGGGTGGTAGTGGAGATGGTAGGTGGAGTTGGTGGTGTGGTAATTTACACAATTTACAATTTACATTAACATTGTCAATGCTGAGTTTGTTCAATTAACGACAAAAGGTGCCATGGATGGTGAAATGAAATATCGACTTGAAAATTTGAATATTAAAAGGGAGGTTACGTATTGTAAAATAAAAGGATGTCTGAAGTATTTTATGAGTGATATGTCAGGAGATTCGCAAATAAGAGTCCTTCTATTGTTGTTGTGTTATCAAAAAAAATATACTAATGTGGATATCAAAAAATTATACTAATGTGGATAGGTGAGATTATTTGTATCTCGGATCAGTTGAATGTGTGGGTAGGTGGGATTATTTGAATATCCGCCTCAGGCCTCCTGTGGAATGAAAGGCCTTTTTGGGTTAAGTGGACTCTTGGAAAGTGATGTTAGTGTTGTTAGGAAAAAAAAAAAAAAAAAAAAAAAAATGATGTACATATATTTTTTTTTAAACACTCTTTGAACTCAATGATTAGACTCAATGATGTGATGCATAAGAGAGATGTTTAATTAATGATTAAAAAAATAGAATTATTTTACATATCTTAATTGTTTTAAAATATAAATATAATTTTTGGATTAAAATAGACAATATACATAAAAAAAATTAAAATATTTTATATTTTTGAGAATTTCACAAGAAAAGGAATAAATTCAAAAATGTTTACTGTTGACATGATTTTCTTCTTGACAACGTGGTCTATTTCCTACCCAAAAAAGAAAAACAAACAATAAAGATAAAGAGATAGAAAAATCACTTTCCCATGTATGTTTTTTTATGTATTATTAGGATTCCAACTTTTTTATCCATTCTTGCTAAATGCAATTTGTATAAAAATATGGATAATGTTTCCAAAGGAAAAAGAGTTCATTTTAACTAAAAGCAATTCAGAAGAATAAATTTCTACTAAACCAATTGCATTTACAATCGTTATCGCCTTATGCTCACTTTCTATTTTCCCTGGATATTATTGAAGAACCCCTTGCAATATAAATGTATTTTGCGAAGGCTAGAAAAAACATGAGAATTACAAAACAAAATACCTCTCCTAAAAACAAAATTAAAAAAAAAAAAAAACCCTCTATAAATACCTCAATTATAATGATTACATTTCATTTTTCTGCTACATGCGACTACTTAGAATGAAAAAGAGCATGGGGCGGACAAAAAAAACTTTCATTCTGCTACATTTTGATACTTTCGATGTTGTACAATGTTATCATTTTGCAGAATAAATTATTGTAATTATGCATGGAAGTCTTGATCCCAAACACAGGCCCAATCTGTTTGCGGGAACTGGCTTCCGTGTGTATCTCAAAATGCAAAACCTATACCCTTTCGAGCCTCTGAAATGCATCAAGTACAGACACACCTTCACAGACACAGGAGAAACACTTTTAATTTATTGTATACCAGCCATTGGAGAAACTCCTCTTGCTCTCAGCGGATGTTCATGCTCCTCCTCCTGTTGCATTTCAATCAAAGAAATATAATGGATCCTTGTTTCTTCCTATGAAATTCAAAAAATTGATTCCTTCTTGTGTTTAGAACAAAATTGGATGATTCATTAACATGGGAGGTTAAACATTGAGATGCAGAATATCTTCCAAAATGTATATGTCACGTCTAACATGTTAGACAGATGGAAGCTATTGCTTCCCTACCAAATTTTGTTTCATTATAAGTAAATTAATGCTGGAGTTTAGCAAGACGAGGAAAAAGAATTCTTAGTGCATATTACATTTCTAACAAATTGCATGCTTTACTTCTTTCAAACTGATTTGCAGACTGCAGTTGAAATGTATCACATCAAATATTCTGCCAAAAACAAAAAGTAGAGTAGGCAGAACACAAAGAACACAGCTTTAGTGTATGCAACTCATTCCTGTCTTTTGTTTTCAGTGAATTACAAGGTTTCGCAATGAATGGCAATTCCATTGTCTAAAATGATCCTACGTTTACTTAAGCATTCGTAGCTATGTTAGGTGGAATATACACTTGTTACAAATGTCAAATTTCACGTGGGCCAAATCTACATTTCTTGAGAAAGATCAAACAAGAAAAATCACGTCAGTGTTATAAGTCCATGTTGAACATGAGGCTCCAATGTTATAAAGAATAAGTAGAAAAGCTTGTCCAAATAGAGCAGGATTAAAGTTTTTCAACTTAAGAACTTTACATTTTTAGCTCAAAAGATTAAGATGGAAGAAATCTGTCATAAAACTAGAAGCTTGTCAGGTTGAACTATTTATCCAAACGAAGTGAATGTAAAAGAAGTGATTGTAACAGATTCAGTAAATCAGGCATGGTGTACCTGTAGATGTTCGGCCGGGGTCCAATTTCGGGGACCATCCACTTGCTCCCACATTGGCTCAGCTTCCTCCCATACATCTGGAGGTTATGAACTCAGAATTTATTATTGGGTTTAGAATTGAACATAATAAAAAGGTTCCATCTTCCATGCTATGATACCTGGACTACTTGTTTTAAGGAGCCCGGAATATTCTCTTTAGATCCCTATTATAAAACAGTGAAAGCACTTGTGTGACTAAAAAAGGATGCAACGTGTAAACTCTATCTGTCACAAGACTTGTGAGAAACTAACCTCAGTGTGCAGAGGCGGTTTGGATGGAGATATTGCATTATGCTCAAGTTCAGATTTCAGGGACAGCTAACATATAGATTGAAAGAGAGGACAACAAAAAATTAGGAAAATCAATGGTCCAGCATCTACATAAGCCAGAATGAAACTCAAAGCAACTCCGAAGGAAAGGTAAAATGTGAAACATAGAAGACTTGAATTTATATCCTGTCACCTTATTAAATAATTCTATTGGTGGATTATACGACAATCCATCATCATTTAGAAGCTTGAGTTCCTGAGGGAAGTAAAAGATAAAGAGTTATTTTTTCTAATAGAAACAGAAAGAGAATAATCTATCAAGAAAATGGTAATTCATATGTTTAGGCGTCATATAATCACAGAAACCTTGGCTTCCTCTTTGACATTCTGGAAAGTGCAAACATCTTTTTTACTGGAAATAATCTGGCATCAAAACAGTATGTTGTCACGGCAATCATGATAAACAAACTCAATCACAAGGCTCACACAAGTCAATAGTTCACCTTTTTATTATGAGGGTGATATTTGACTCTATTTAGTGTTTTACACTTTTCCTTCTTGGATGCCTCTTCACAGTTTAGCCTGAGAAACGGAGGTCTACAAATCTGTCATATCAATCCATAATCATCCGAACAAAAATGTATCCTCTAAGAAGCTTAGAATGAGAGGCCTGCTCAGGAAAAACTGTGGTGATGCAACGCACTCTTCCATACAACTGACTATAATTTAAGTGTGTCCTTGTTTACTAAATGAGAAAATAACACATAGAGTGTTTAGACAGAAGATCGAAAAAGTAAGTTCTAGTAAAACTTCCCCTAAGGCAGCATAATAGAAACAGGAATGATGTTTTAAATGTCCAACTTCGAAATCAAAATAGGTTGACAGTCCAAACTCTTACCTTTCAGTGCGTGTGGCCTCATTTTTGGGTATGGATTCAGAATTCTGCATGTTCAGTGCCAACAATTACAAAATTATAAGCTTCGGAATTGTGAAAATACACAAGCACCAATGGTACTAGATGAGCAATAGTCACTACATAGGCATAAACTAAGTATAAACTTACTAAAACTGCTTTTAAAAAGAAATTACAACTAAAAAAAGACATAATGAAGAAGTGTCAAAACGTACAGTAACAGTCCCAAAGACAATAGCGCATTCAATAACCTTACATTATTAGCAGATGAGTGTTGCATAGCCCTCTTTGATGTCTTCAAGTGGAACTCCTAAAAAGCAATGAAACGGAAGGTGGGAGGAAAACTGAGTCACGGAATTGTGCAATTGATATTATCAAAGGGATGGCAAACAAACAAGTTTTGACAATTTACTTGGAACACTGGAGATTGTGGTCTGCTCTTTATTTGAGGAAGCAATGAAGGAGCCTTGAGAATCTGTCAAACCCAAAGCACATACCATACATCAAATATAAACTAGAAACTTCATCGAAAATTAAAATTTCATGAGATTCAAGAAGACTCAAATTTTAACTGGACTACCAACTTTTCTGTTCAATGGCCGTGCTTTAAAGGTTGGGCCCTTTGATTTTGCATGTTCACCTGATTCTGAATTATTCCTTGACCTGAATTAAGACAAACGGCATGTTCCATGCCATTAATTTTAGAGATGTCTGCTAACTCTCTACCCAAAGACATGATAGAAGATACGAACATCATACGAGTATACCTATGTTTTTGTGCTCTATGTGCTGTTTCCAGATCAGGCTCTCTTGGAACAGTAACTTTTAATCTGGAATTTACTGTGTTAGGATCAACTTGTCGAACCTGTTTTTTTTTGCCCGATACAGGAGGGGGGAGAGAAGAAGATAGGAAGAAAGAAAGAAATAGAACCAAAAAAATGTAAAAAGATGCAGACTTAAAACTGTTATGATGCATTAAGCAAAATATGAGTAATCAGTATCATCTGAAATTAGTGATAAACATCAGTGTAACGACTGCTTCATACTTCTGAGGTACAGCATACCTTAGGCAACTTGTGTAACAACAGACTTTGGTGCTTCAGATGAGCAACCTGGTTCATAGCATAAGGACATCCTCAGTAGTTGCACAAACTATTATAGCAGATTCTAGATTAAACGTACTTCTATGAATAAAAAATATAAAACAGCAGTTCAGCAAATTATTAATGCATTTCATAAAAGGCAGAAAGCTATGAAGACATGCAATTCAGTTAAAAGCATGTGCGCCGAGGTAAGAAGAGGAGGATGCAGAAAACATGGCCCATATTGTATTGTGGTCAACAAAATGACAACAAAAACAAAAAATAAAGAGTTCGTATGCCATGAACCAGGTTGGGGAGGGAGGGATTTGCAGTGGAACGAGGGAGGGTCACAGGAATGGGTTTTAAAGGGGGCTGGTGGCAGGGTGGATGGACTGCAGGGTGGTGGCGGTCAGGTGGGTGCAACAGTTAGGGTTTGAAATGTTTGGGGATGTAAAGGGAAGGTAGGAGGTTAGGGATAAGTTTTTTGTTTTTGGAATTATGGAGGGTGTAATGAGATAAAATGGAAATTTTGAATTTTGAATGGAGGTGTAAGTAGAAAATCGGTGTGAGATAGAATTGTTGTGCAAATAGAAGCTCTCCTAGTTTATTCATGTAACTTAAAGACTTTGAGGGTTTACTTTGTAGAGCCTCGCTTCTACTAAGATATATGCTTTTTGATGCACTTCTTTCTTGGACCGTCACACTTGTCCTCAGAGGTAGAACTCAAGGCATCATTAGTCCAGCACTTAACCGACGAAAGTGAGGCGGATGTGGCCCCCCACCAGGTGTACCCAAGCTGAGCTATCAAGTCAAGTTTTGGATTTATTCCTGTGCCAAGGATTGGTAGACAGTCCTACCTTTCTACCGTGAGTGAGCTTCTCAAACCATCCTTTTTGGTTTGATGCCACACAGATTTCGACTATTGAATAGGGTTTGGGACCCTTGATTTGATTATTTTTTATTTTTATAACTATCATTAAAATGAACTTTCTTCACATGCTTGAGCGCATCCCCTTTCTATTAGTAAAGTTGTCAATAGGCTTTCTTTTAGTTTCTTTATGACTAAACAAATCTAATAGGGGGAGGAGGGGCGATAATGACTATACCAATAGTAGCTCAGCATCAAGAATCAATGACTTTTTCAACACCTGAAGGTGGCCGCACAAGCCTAAGAGAGAATATAGGGGGGTTATCAGATAGAAATTGAGCAAATTTCCACTCTAATCTTCTTCCCATTTCCATATGTTATTTTACTCTAAATGGAAAGTCATTAGAAGTACACCTTAAAATTCACTTAAAACTTGTCAAAATAGTTTCAGGCTTCAGCTTTCAAGTTCAGTCTGGCTTCTAGAAAGTAAATGATGCACACACAATTTCCAAACCCGATTAATACCAAGGCAATTGGTATAACATGTGTGTGATGTATTTAATTATTAACACATGAATACATTGACAAAAAGATATTGGTTTTCATACAGATTCTACATTCATAATGCATACATCAAGACTCAAGTCCACCAAAATATGGGTAAATACATCAAATTTACCTTACACAAATAACCATTCTCTAGTTTTTGCCTTTTGGTAGCATCTCTGTCTACCCCAAGAGGATTCTTCAAACTTCTCTCATCTAATTTAGTTAATGGCTTTTGTGACCTGGCAGTTAAAGGCAGCAAAGCGAATTGAAGACCACAGATACAGAAAATCAGAAATAGACAAGTGGGGAGGGGGAGGACAAAAAAGAAGCAAATATACCAGAATGATACTAAACAAACCAGAAATTAATAATAATGATAGTTAGAAATCAAAAAACACTATCAATAGTGCAGGCAACAAATTAAAAGATCAATGACAAACTGTTAATATTCAATCATACTTTAGAAAGAACAACTATAACCTTTCCAAGAATCGGATGGAATGAACTTCTCTTCCTCGGCTTAGCTTTGCCAAATGACTTGCTGTAGGTTGCATTAGAGTTGAACTCCTTATTTTGGATGATTTGGCCACAGACTTAATTTTGGCTTTTGGAATATCCTCAGCCATACCATTACGAGATTTTGGTCCTGCAATAGTATAAATTAGGAACCATTTGATTGAAGCCAGAGAAGAGTGGGGGAAATTACTTAAAAGAAAAGAAAGGATTGGCTTATCATCTATTTAATGAGATCAGATATATTACATTGGTATAGCCCTAATGACAACTTAAAAAGTGACACTTCATCCACCTTTAAACTTGCCCTGACATTTAGTCTAGAAACTCAAAACTGTTATGGTACTTGAATCTTAACAGACTACACTAGTTATACTTGTAGGCCTGTAATTCAGATAACAACTAAACCTCAGAAAAAAATACATAAAAGTTTCTCACAAAATAAAAATGATAGCATCATGATGCCATAAAAATCTATCCAACGACTATTATTATTATTGGGTTTTTTTTTTTAAAAAAAAAAAATGAAGAAGAAGAATAAAAAGAAAAGAAGAGATTAAAAGTGATGATGTGTGGCAACATTACCCTATTTCACAATAGATTTCATTCTCCAAATGATGTGTATCAAGACTAAACATAAGCCCATCATTGAATTACTGTCTCTACCATGGGAACAAACTACAAACATGTATTTCCAACGCATAATATATTCAGTTATTGTAAAAAAAAATCTCAACAGAACCAAAGTTCAATCAAATTGTACTAATGTGGTCACAATAAATTAATAATAAATATTTATGGCAGCAAAAAGAAATTGTACCTTTTTCATTGTCATCTAATTCAAAAACTTCAGGATCCATGTCATGATCCAAGTTGTTGCTACTAGAAGTCATGCTTTCACCATCATTTGACTTACGAGAGGCATTTTCATTTTTTGCTGCGGTGTTTTCTCTCAATTTCAACTTTATTACAAACGCTATATGTTCAAATTAATGAGAGAAAAAGAGTAAGCCAAATATTAACTACAGACATAAGCTGATAAAAAAAATGCCAAATTCAAATCTGTAGTACTTCCATGTAATTGTTGTTAGAACAACAACCAAAACAAAGACGAGCAATGAAGAAAAAGAGTGGCACACAGCAAAGTCTACAATGAGGAAGCAAGGATTGTTTTCAAATGCAAAACAAATGGAAAACATCTTCATAGCGAAAAGAAGTACGGTGCATCCATGTATACATATATAGCAAAGTAGTTCAGATGGTAGATATTAGTGATCAAATACGAAATAAGTTGTAATAAATATAAATGATTAAGCGGATGGCCCACAGTAACTTCTGAATATTACTTTCACATTTAAGATCATAAATTTGCATATCAATCCAATCCCGACATTAAAGAAATCATACAAACATTCTACTGTTTCAGTTTCAGGAAATGTATCAAATTCATATTTGATAAACAAAAAGAGCTGCAAGTGAGCTCCAATCATTTCATCAAACTTTTATCAAATCAAGGGAGAAGCAAAATTTTCAACAAATCAAGGTGAAACCAAATCCTTCACCAAACATCCAACAGTCATATTTTTAGTCAAAATTAATGAAATTTTAAGAAGAGTAAGAATTAGAGTTTCATAAAGAAAATAGTTAAAACAAGGTTTTATGAAGAGAGAGGTAAGGATTGGAGTGTTCCATAGCAGATCAAGCTTTCAACCAATTTTTTACTCAAATTTAATGAAAAAAAGAAGAAGAAAAAGAAAGGATTGGAGATGCTCTGACTACATGCATTTGAAATTCAACTACATTGATCAAAGAGAAGCACAAAACTTGCAAACGAACACGTATCAGACATTATTAACAGAAATATATGATGAATCAAATAAGCAGGAAATAAAGGAACAAAGAGCATATACTATATGAAGAATCAAATGTTTATATATATATAGATAGATAGAAAAAATATGTGTGGAATATATAATGGATGAAATTGTTACGGGAAGGCGGGTAAGTTCCGGCAGATTGGAACCAGCGTTCGGCATCTTGAGCCTCGGAATAGGATTCCAGGCGAGTAAAATCGAAGAAGCGAGCAGCATCGAACTCGTAATCAAAATCAACTTCTGAGACGTCCTGGAAATAGTCTCCAACGAAGTCCTCCAATTCTTCGTCCATATCTCCATACGTATCGGCTTCTTGGGAAACCATAGTGTTTTCAGACGAAGAAATCAGAGGACTCCATTCACGGTCTTAGCTTCTTTCTCTCTGTATCTAAGGTGTTTTGTAGGGGTTTTTGATGGTGAAACCCTAATTGTGAAGAAGAAGAAGAAGAAGAAGAAGAAATGAAATGAGAAAATGAGAGTTTGTCGGGGGTGATAGGCGAAATTTGCGTATATTGCAGAGAGGACGTGAAAAGAAACAACGGTGACATTGCCTGCATTTCTGTCTATATATACATAGCGCCCAATCCCCCCCGATGATTAGGACCCGCAGGGGACACTGCAAAATTTGAAAATGTGGGTCCCATGCTTCTTTATAAAATTACTAGGTGAATTTATCAAGTCAAACCCTATGTACAGCATGGCTTATTTTGGTAAGGAGGTGAAAAGTTAATTTTTAAAATTTTTTTATTTAAAAAAGTTTATAAAAAAAATAGAGAAGTGATGTGATTTAAAAAAATTAAGGTCTCGTTTGGGAACAAGCTAATTTAGTAACTTTTTGATTATTTGGCTAAAATACGAGTTAAAAAAAATTAGTATGTTTGGGATGACTTTTTGACTTTTTACGAAAAGATGTGCAAAAAGTAGAGAGAAAAGAGAATCTTTGACTTTTTTGTATGAGTTATTGACTTTTTAGCTAATTTAGTAACTTTTTGAATTTTTGACTAAAATGGAAGATTCCCAAACGAGGCCTAAAGCTAACTTTTAGTCAAGTTTCCAAAATAAGTCTATATGCACTTTATAATTAAAGAAAAAATGTTATAATTTTATAATTTCTAAATTATAACTAAAAAAAAAAGAAAAGGTACAACTAAAAAAGAAAAAATATATATTATAACCAAATATAATATGATGTATAATTAAAAAATTCATGAATCGTAATTAAAATAATATTATAATTAAAAGAAGAAAATTGATTATAATTAAAAAAAATGACATAATTTGTATGTATGTAATATAATAAATTATATATATAGTCAAATCGTGTAATTATTTAAAAATATCATTTAAAACTACTTAAATAAATACATGAGTCTCTTAATTTGATTTTTATTAATTTAGATGGTGAGAAATATCAATTTTATCTTTTTTATTTTTCATTTTTAAAACAACTGAATTATATGATGTCAAGTATTAAATAAAAATTACCAAATAACTTCTCTTATCCTTTTGTTATAACAATAGATTATCTACAATAAACATCATTTTATGTGTACTATATACACGTTATAACATTTATGATTTTGATTATCACGAATGTCATAACTAATTTTTTTAGCCATAATTAAAAATAATTTAAAAAAATTGAGTTATAACCAAATATCAACCAAAATAATAATCACATATTTAATGGTTATCAACAAAAATATCTATAATATTAAAATTACTAACCCTCCCATTAACTCCGTTAGTTATAGAAAATGTCATTGTCAATTCAGAAAATGGGGGAGAGTCCAGTGTAATTGTTAGGAACCTCAAGGGAGGTGACTGTAATTTACCCTTTTTAAAATTATGAAAGCATTTATAATTTTAATTATTAATACTTGTTATTTATTTATAGTACTTATTATTTGTATTCAAAATTATATAAAAATAAAATTAATAAACAAATTTAAAATAAATAAAAATATGTTATAAGTTTTTTTTGAGCAATCATAAATTTAAATTGATTTTTTTGAAGTAATTACTTCAAAAAATTTAATTTAAAAGATAATAATAATTTAAAATTTTTTACTAACCTACTTACCTATTCACATGTCTATTTATATGAGCATCTCCAACCCACTAGGCATATCATGCTTGTTAGTCAAAATGCCTAGTATAACTTATTTTTTTCAACTCCAATGCACTAGGTATATGATTAGGCATTTTAGCTCAACTCACATTCACTAGCTACATGTAGCTAGCCTTCAAGACTAGGCAAAATATATTTAATCATTAGGATCATTTCCCTCCATCTTTGTTGCTGATGTGGCATTTTATAAAATTAATAGTATTTAGATGACTAGCTAAAATAAAGAGCATGGTTGGAGTAGAAATATGAAATAGTTGATAGGCAAAATAAAATATATACTTTATAGTAATATTTAGATAGGTAAAATGCCTATTACCGTTGGAGATGCTCTAAGTGGTTGCTTGTCCGTTGTCAGTCACCACAAATGACTCGTGACAATAGTAGGTGATGATTGATAGTAGTGTGCGAAAATATTGAGCAAAAGTAGGGATAGAAAAAGTACGAAGGTAAAATAAAAAATAGAAAAAAAACAAAAAAATAAATTTTGTTAAAAATAATGATTTATAAATCTTATCAATATATTTCATTAATCATGTTCTTATAATCAAAATAAATCAATTTATCTAATGCCATATACACTTGCAAAAATAAAATTTTCACAATATAATATATAAATTAATAAATTTAATATTCTCTATTTATTACTGTGCCACTTATTATATTACTCAAATAAGTTTTTTTGAGATTCAAATTTTATTATTGCATAACACAAACTAAAAATATAAATTTTGAAAAAATAGTAGTTTATATTAAATTTTCTTCCACTAATTCCATTAAAAAATGTCTATCTCCATTATTGAATGGACATTGTTTTGTATGCCTATTTTTTTTAAATTTTTTTTTAATACTTTTATTAAAATTTTAAGCTTATCATATATATATATATATATATAAAAGTAAAGTAGTGCCTTTCATTAGAATACTCTAACATTGTGCTATGTGGCATATTCAAAACTTGCCATGTCCCATTTTATTTAGGGCGAATTACACTAACAGTTCTTATAGGTTAAGACTATTTTACTTTGATTCCTGATATTTCAATTATAATACATTTGATCCTAAATTTTGAATATCGTTCAAAATAAAGACAATTGAAGATATTATTGCTCCATTTTAAGAGCAAAGTTATCATACAACTTATTTTGTTTTGGTTAATTTAAATGTTGTTTGAAATATAATAATATTTTTGTTAATGAATAATGTTAAAACTTTTTTGGTTATAAAATTCTGTTTGGTTTGACTTTTAGAATCTATTTTCAGAATTTTTTTTAAGAAACTAAAAATTAAATTAGTGAAACAAATTAAAAACACATCATTTTTATATAATTTTATCTTTTGGGAGGATAAAAATAATTTTTTAAAATAATTTTTTTTCTAATATTTATTTTGTAACACTCCATAATTTTTTTTTTCTTTTTTTTCTCATCGCTCGAGCGATGGATTGATTACTCGAGCAGTCTTGCAAAACTTCTAGTACTTTTGCATGTCTTAGATTCTGGGAGATGTCGATGTTCGCTCGAGCGCAGGGTTGGTCGCTCAAGTGGTGTGGTGTTTCTGACGCTTGAGCGCAGGAGTGGTCGCTCGAGCGGCCTATTTAGGATCAGCATCTTTAAAAGTCATTTTTAGTCCACTTTCTTCATTTTTTTTCTCAGATTCTCTCTCTTCTCTCTTTCCTTTAAGCTATTGTTGAGTTCCAAGCTCATAAAAGCTTGGAATTCATCTCTTTAAAGTAAGATTCTCACCCATGCTCCTCATATAAAAACGAAGAGCACGTCGAGGGATTCCTATCAATCTGAACGGATCGTGTTTTCATCGATGTTGGAATTTTAGGATTCTTCTTCTTCTTGCCAGAGGTAGGGATTTCAAATGTATTACAATTGAAAGGTGAGAGACCAAAGTGACACAAGCCCTAAACTACATGGACCGTTAATAAAATGTGCCCTTTTATTTATTTTCTCTATCTTTTGGGCCTTTTATTTTCTTTTGCCTTTGTTAACTCTATAAATTGTCTTCTCTTTTTATTTGTATTTATTTTCTCTTTTGTTACAAATATAAATATGTGAATGTAGAGTAGATGAAAAGAAAATGAAAAATTAGATTTTCAATTTGAATATGAATTTTGAAAATTATCTTGTATTCTTGAAAATAAAAATAAAAACTATAGGAAAAGGCACCATCCACCTCGCAATTTCAATTACCGAAGAATGGCATGTCAGAAAATTGGTTGCAGAATTCGATTAAGAATCAAGCTGATAGCTTTTTACCAAGTTCTCTCAACTTTACCGAGTAACCTAGTTAACTCAATAGATGAGTTGGAAGTGATGTTGAGTAAATGGGGTAGAGGTTTGTAGGCGTTGATGCTGAATGGAGTGACTTGAAAAGAGCACCACGTGGAGTGGTTGGAGAAGAAAGCTCTGTGACTAGTTTAATGGAACTTCAAAGATATGAAGATGAAAAGTATAGAGGCAACAATAAATAATCTTAAGAAAAATGGGTTGGAGGGTGATTAAATATACCTTTTGGTGAACAAACACATAATTGATAAATCGGACCCTAAATGTTGGGCCCAATCTTCACACTAAGTGCCTAGAGGTGGTTTTGAGCCAGCCTAATGCTTTTAACTCATTAGGTAATAATAGAACTGGGCTTTGTGTTAACCCAAACCTAGATGGGATTAGAAATAATGGATCCTAGGAAGCAAACCTACAAAATGTTTAGCAATTTGATGAATCATCTGACCCTCCAAAGGTTGAAGCAAAACATCTATGATAGAAGAGGGGGTTATCAGATTCATCCATCTTTTATCAGCTGAAGAGACATCGTCGTTTTTGATTGTTCCATCAATCCTCAAAGGAAACCACTCCTGCCATAGACCAAAATTGTTTAAGTAAAAGGAAAGCTAGAAGGAATCAGGCATATTGATTGGTGGGATCAGAGGGCTAAGGGGTAGACACATTGTCACAACCCAAACCTGCCCTTATAAGTTTAGCATTATACCCGGTCAGTAATCCTGGGATTACCAAAGGCTTCTGAACAAATTAAACAAAATATAGGGGCTAGCGGAAGCAAATACCAACAAATAATGTCTATAGAGCTGTATAGACATACATGAGACAAAAAATTTAAAACTTAATTTACATATATGATGTCATCGAAATGTCAGTCTTACATCACCACATTTACAGATAGGCTAAAAGTCATGTTCAAACTTAAACAAAAAGGAAATCAAAAGTCTTAAACTTGCACACAAAACTTGAGCATTTCTTAGTTTAGGAACCTCCTCGGGAGGCACTGTGGTTGGCTGACCAAAGCAAATCTCCAAGCAACAACTTAGGCCTGGTCACGCGCCTAATCACATACATACATAAATAATACGATGAGTTGGAGCCCAGTGAATAACAACAGAGTAAAGGGTTT